AGATTTAGGTTGTATGGCAGTAAAATAATCTGAGAAAGAAGTATTAGCACACAGATAATTCTTCCTTCTCTTTATGAAAGGCTTAGCCTCTCAAACATTGTAATACATACAGAGTTTCTCCATACAAAAAATCCAGTGTGTCTAATTGGAATTAAATATAAGATTTCACACCTTACATAGCTGAATTTCTGCACTCCCAGCCTCTGACCCAGGTATCTTTCAGTCTTCTCCTTAGTGTGTTTTTACAGTGTTGTCCATTCATCATCCAGTTAGACACACCTGTGTCACTGATGAGCCAAAGAATTTCGTTAGAACAGAGAAGAAATAGGAAAGCTTGATGCCAGCACAGATATATGTGACCTGGAGGTCAGCCTTCTATGTGTCTGACTCCTAGTAGTTTCAAGAGGATTATTTGCTTTTTTTTCTTGGTGAGATTTCTGGAGGCCAACGGAAGTAAATGCTAACATTATAAAATTGAAGTGTCTTAATCTTGCTGTCTTCTAAGGATCTCTCAAACAATGCTAGACATGGGGAGAAGGTATTCAGAGAGAAGTTCAAGTAGGCTACGGTCACTAGTCCTTTTCTAGGCTAAGTTGGTGAATGGAGATACCTTCCTCCTTCAGATGTATCTAAGTGTAAACTCCATCTCTACGTTGTCCTCTAAAGGACTCTAATTTTGAGAGTTACATCCCTCTGGTAGGAATGGGAGAAACTAAAATGACCTTTCATGATTCTTTGTGCCTCAACTTACATTTAATGTTACATACCTTATGGCTCTTTTGCTTCCAAATATGCACAGCTCTGAACTCATTGACATTTATTAAATCCATTCACATTAATTGTGGTTCTACTAAATGAAATGCTAAAATATGCTCTACTGGCTATCTGTAATTTTCAGTATGTATATGACTTTGCCATCGACTGGAATGGAGGGATGATTGTAAATCTGGGTGTATACACTATATATGTCTATAGAGAGATGAAAATTACTTAGCAGGTGCAAAACTAATGCTCGGTATTTTTTCCATTTTTTTTTTTAATGGCTTGCAAAAGGGTAAGTCAGATGTTCTAATGAAGATATTGAAACCCAATATAAAGTTTAGATTATTGTTTTCTTATGGTTAAACTGATGAAACTGAAGTTCAATGTCTGAATTTTTTTTTTGTAATGAGAAGGGCTGACTGTTTGCAGGCTATTTAACTCTTCATCTGTTGTCAGCTCATGGCCTCTTTAGCTTAGAAAATACTTTTCCCTAAGACACAAATGCATTTTTAAAGCTTACGCTTTACATGTATAGCATCTTCAATTTCTTTATCAAATTTCAACCTGTTCTGTGTAATTAGAAAACAACTTAGAAAATGTTATGGGGCTGCACTAATGATTTTCTCTCTGAATTTCACAGGCTTAATAATAGCATTAATTTTCTCAAGTCTGTTAATGCTTATGACACTTTTGTAGCTGCCCCATCAAAATAGACTTCTTTGGCATTTTGGTTCTCTAAAAGAATGTGTATCTCTTAGTAGAAGCACTGTACTAATAGATATGTTTCATCTTTCTAAGGTAATCTGTATGTCATTTATCATATTGATTTGTACTTTATCTTTGTTTTCATACATAAGTTTTATACCTAACTTCTCAAAGGCTAATATGACTTTTGAAGCTGTGATGGACTAAGTAAAATAAGAAATCATCTAAGCAGATGATGTCAGGATAATGATGAAATTGCCTGCTAATGTTGCAAAATTAGCAATTTCTTCTAACTGGTTAAATCAGTATTTTAATTATTATTTAGAAATACAGAAAGTATACTGAATTGTTAGCTCTGAAAACAAGGCTTCAGACAAGCGTAAAGCTTCAAATTCTCATGCAAATGCTAACACTTAGACAATTGCTATTTATAACTGGCATTCTTAATGAATGACTGATGTGGGCAAGTGTGCAATAAGCTGTCCAAACTTTATAGAAAGGTTACAGCTTGATTAGCAGTATGCCTTGGCAGTACCTGCAAACAACCGTTCTTTCCAATCTGCTGGCTGGTACTCTATACCAGTTCATTTAATAGCCTTTCAAGCTAGAAGTCTACCATTTATCGAAGTGGTTTTGTGAATTAAATTGTCCATTAGTGTGTGGGTTTAGTCTACAGGCTTCATTCATCTGGGACTCTAAATAGCTGAGACACGATGACTTACAACTACTCACCAGATCTCATTTGTGACTGACTTCTTAAAACGTTCTTGTACAAGGATGGCTTTCATTGTTCTGTCCTGATGCTCTTAACAGCATGGCCCTAGACTTCTAATGCTACAGTTTAGGACAGTGCAATTCATTTATTTTCTACTTAGTCTGTTTTCCTTTAAGGAGAGGGGTAGAGGAAGACATTTGGCTTTGAAGTTGTAAATATACATATTCTTATATCTTCTGTTACTTCATTTTTATAAATATTGTTACATACTGAAATGGCTTATGCAGAATTGCAGTCTCTACATGTTTTTAGGATGTTATGTGTGCTACTAATGTGTACTCTGTGCTAACATCTCATCATGCAGAATTATCTCAGTTTCCTCTCAGTGAAATTTACTAATACAAATCTTGCTCCACTTTCATTTCAGTTGCGTTGCATTTGAGTGAGGAGGTCCATGTTTAACTGCAGTTAAATTAGTTGTTTCTCCTGTCTATATATCAGATGTTGTCCACAGAGCCTTTAACTAGAAGGTAGCCAACTTTCAGTGACAATTCAGTTACAAAATTGACACCTGCTCTAAAAATGCATGTTTTCCTTGCTGGCTTTAAGGATTTTATTTGCTTTGTTACTGAACTTGTTAGGCAACCAGTGCAGTGTCATGTGTTATAAGCTGGTTGTTCAGCTGTTTTGTCTGAGGAACAGCTTACTGTGATATGATTATTTTACCAGGGGAAAGAAAAATCATCAGAACTCTGCTTACAGGTATTCTGAGTATAGTTTATGTGGAGCTCAAGCATTATAATATTGAAGTGTTTTCCTTCTGTACCTCTGCTGCTGTGTTGATAGCCTCCTGCTTTGCTCCAGCTAGATGTCCCTCCCATCTTTGGGACCTGTAGTTCTCTAGCCCTTCACCCAGTAACTGTACATCTCTTATGTAGTCTGTCAAGCTTATTGTTCCATCAATTAAAGTTTACTTTTGTGTCCTCTTCATTATTCTGGGGTAACTGAAGATAAACAAAGACTACAAAACTGTTGTCTTACTCCTTAGCCAAGGGAAGGAGACTCAAATCTCATTCTTTCCACAGACTCTCCTTGTGTCACTGTCAGGGCTATGTAGTCATCAAATGTTATTTTCACAAAGGCAGTTATAGCCAATTACTAATGCTGTTCCTCTTAGTAATCCACTGTTGTGAATTTTTTTGGTTTTGACCACCCAGATTTCTATCCTAACAAAAGAGGTGATCAAAGCTTTCTGTCTTTTGACATGTAATGCTGTCCAGACAAGTTTCCTCCTTCCCTCTTTTCCTCCCCAGCATTCTTATCTTGATTTACCATTTTTCTGCATTTATAGTCTATTTTACCTGTTCTCATCTGCCTCAGCTCTTTGTTTCTAGTCCATAAATTTTCTGACAGTCTTTTCTGCAAACTACAGGGGTAAAGATAAAAAAAACCTTAATTTTACTTTTTAAATCTGGCTTATGTCAGTCTGAGAAAAAAAAAAAACCAAACAAAAAACCCCCAGAAGACTCGCTTCCGTAGTATGTGAGCAAGGAAGGGCTGAAATGATGAGCAAGGAAGGGCTGAAATGACAAACAAGCCCCCACAGAAAGTTGGCAAGCGTCTTGCCATGTAGTGTGAAAGATAAAACACTAGGGAGCTCAAGTGTAAAGAGAGTTTGTTTTTTTAAAATAAAATCTACAAAACATTGCCCTACCTTACATAGGAGATGCATAAAATTTAATTTAGTACTCCTTTTACCTTATTTTACATGAACATTTGAAGAGTGAACTGGATTGTTTGAAGTTATCAGCTTTCCTTACATCTTCTGTCTGGTTTGAAGCCCGTTTCTGATAATATGAATGCTGTCTTGACAGTTTGCCATTACAGGTGGATGCTCTCTGAATACAAGGGTGTTCTGGTTTGTTGGGTTTGGGGTTTTTTTTTTTGAGTACAGGTTTATTATCAATAAATAATTTGCTGCTACTTCAACAGCAGATTCTAGAGCAGTGATTCTTCTTGTCGCTCAGAGCTAGCTCTTATGAATGTATTTCCTTTCTGTTATTGCCTGCAGTACTTGTAATCCATCCTTCCTTTTACTGAGAACCGCTGAACTTGTTAGCAAATGTCAGGGACAATAATTCAGTAACAAACTTGTTTGCTAAACCTCACGGATGTCATGAGACTTAACTGCTTAGTTACACATTTTTATTGGGCACTTAGTACAAACCAGTTATTTCCTGAACTACCTGCTGTTGCCAGTGATCTGAAGGCTGATCAGTAAGAAGGATTATCTAACTAATCTTGCACACAGAAGTGTTGGAATATACATCTGGTTCAGCACCTTTCCACCAGACCCTGTGAATATTAAGGTTTGACCCTAGCAAAGGGAGCAGCCCAAACTAAGTAGTTACTGCTTTTGAACCCATGCTCCTTATCTACTTCCTTTAACTATGTCATACATATATATAATTTATGTGTATATATACATATATATTTTAAACAGTGTGTAGACATATTAGGATAAGAATAAAGAGCACCCGGGAGTGCACAAGTCAGTGAAGGTTTCTTCCAACACTGCAGTGAACAAGGCAGCCTCTAATCCTTGAATTAATTCACAAACTGCAGTCGCTCAGTCGTTCTGACATCTGTGGTGCTCTGCAAAGAAGAGTTGGAGAAACGCCAGACTCCCTCTTGGTAGCTGTTTTCTTTTCTTCCTGCTAACATGAAGTTACATTGCTCTTTGTTATAAATAATTTGCATTAGGAGCTGTAATAGATAGTTACTTAACACCATTTTTCCCTCCTTCCTTGCTCTCTAGAATTGGGGATCTCTTCAGTGAATAACTTGCTGCTTAAAGAAAGGACTAGAGTAACTGAAGGTGTGAAATTCAGGTAGGCAATACTGTCTGTTTACTTTTCACTTTAAATGTTGAGCTAAACATAGATGACAGATCTATGAATATTCATTGTGGTACCAAAACCATCAAAGCGTGATAGGGATTTTAACCTTAAGGAGATTGGATCTGGGTTCATGGCTATTCTCATGAATTCTAAGCAGCATTTCAAGTGCTTCCCTGGTGATGAGCCCCTGATAAGAAGTCCAGCAGAATTATGAGATGCAAATGTCCTTTGAGCTCATAATAAAAACAGATTGATTAATATTCATATCTGGTTCAGACTAACTTTGACAGGAGGTCCAGGTACTTTGTGACCCTCAGTTAATTTAATGAATTATTTTTGACAGCATTAAATTGTCTTGTTGCCCCAACAGACTTTGGTATTCATGGTATGTGCTACTGCACATACTTTAGATTTTCTTCCCTAATTTTCTTAAAGTATATTCTTGATGGAATTGCTAATTACTTTGTCAATTTCACATTCCTATTCCTTTGTTCAAAGTAAGGCTTCTAAATAGATCTCCAATACGTAATTTTTCAGTAAGATGACAAAACTTCTTTGGTGTTCTTTCATGGGTTTAATAATTTTATTTGCAATTTAGTATCAAATGCTACTGCTTATCCTGATTTACTCAGCTTTGAAGGACCCATCCAGCTTGATGTTACTACTTTCTAATCCCATCAAGTACACCTGCTTTGGTGTGGTGTTAAATAATGTAGATGAATGGCCAGTGTTTTTAATCAGCTGAATTTGCCTTCAGCAAAATTCTTGGATAGATCTATTCCTATTTGACTTTAGTAAGTAATATGATCGCAGCTCATTTATGTAGGGTTAATATCTGTGAGTTACATGGAGTACTGACTGAACAGTTAAACCCTGAAATTGCCACTGGTTTCTTATGAGCTCAGTTCTGTACAGCAACTTTAATTTTAGAAGCTTGTAAATTCTACTTTAATATTCTCTTTTACTGTTCCATATTTTACTGTCTGAAAATCCAAATGAACTGTGGAGAAGGACTCCGAGAGGTACAGTACTTTAGGAAATGTGCATAAAAATCTCTTACACATGCTGCTTCCTCAGAAAGAGGTGTAACTTGTGGAACACATTGCATGAGCAAAGCCTGCAAAACACTTATTTCATTTCTCAGGTACTACGTAATAAAGATATTTCTATTTAACCTTATTCTTTGTGCTTCTGAGCACCATTCACGAAGTACGTAATTCAAGTAGCAGAGTTGATGCTTTACCCTAAAAATACTCCAAGTATGCTGCATTTCATTTAAATACTGGTAAATGGCTAACATGACATTTTCTGTTTCCTTCTTTCTCTCTCCCTTCCCCCATGTTCTTTTGACAAGTCTGAAGTGTTGCCAGTACGATCGACGATACTGGACATGTTTGGGCTTATCCTTCATGCTGTGCACTTACTTTCTGTGAACACACGTGGTTTTTTTCAGCTCTGATTTCAGTATTAGTTGTAAAATCTTTCTGCCAGAGAGCCTGGGGAAGGAAGAGTCTGCACATGAATTTACCCTGGAGAAGTATGTGACAAGGAGGTGGTTTTACTAGTAGCGTGTGAAACTGGAAGTGTAAGTGGCATCCCGACGTGGGATGAGGAGCTGCAGTCTCCTCTGCTGGCCCTGCGGTTCTTCCTCTGGCCTGCTTCTTGCTGCTGTGCCTCAGGAGTATCCCCAGATATTTATATATCCACACTGTGAAAAAAATACTTCATTGCAGAATGAGAATGGGGTCTGGGCATGGGGAATCTCTGGCCTTGAGACTCTGTCAGGAGTGGGGAGAGAAGAAGGAAATGGTAATCCAATCAGGTAATTTTAAAATAAATAGAAAACCTACCAACCCAATAAAACCCCACAACCAAAAAACCTATGCTGTGGAGGTGGATGGAAGAGAGGGAAAAGAAGGCAGGCAGTTGGGTAGCAGATGTAGGGGTGATAAGGGCAGGTGAAAGATGGTGATGCCTGTCTGAAGGAGGCGACTTAGAGGAAAACAGGAGGAATATTTGCAGCTGGAGGAGAATAAGGGCTGTACTGCAAGCAGCAGGAGGAGGGCATGGGCACGGATAAGAGCTGATGCAGGAAGACCAAGTGGGGAGGAGACAGGACTTCTCCTGGAGCACTGGTGCCTGTCAGTGGTGATGCCCCCTGGAGCAGGGGGAAACAGGGAGCAAAGAGAACTCCACAGTGCAAAAATCTGTGCATTTCATTCATGTGCCAGAAACAATTGAAGTGCAATGGGTGTTCCCAACCTGTTGGCTGCCCTTTCTGTACATGCTCCAGGAGTGTCTGCAGGAAGCTTCAATCACAGGTCAGGAAGTGCAGCCTTCCTGACTTGCCTTGCTGGCAGCTATGAAATTGGTGAGTGTAAAATCTCCATAAACATCTTGCAGTATGTCCTATTCCAGCCTGAAAAAAACCCATGCTTGAAGTCTTAATATCTTTCTTCTTTTATCTGCAGTGTTTTGAGGTTCAGACTGGCAGTTTATAAGACAGTGATGCAGGACAGTGCACCAGGGCCATTCCCTGCCACCTCTTTACCTAAAACCCTGCAACTTTTCCGTCCCCTGTCCCCCTACAATTGTGTGGCTGGACCTGCATCTTCATTCACATAGCCAGTGTTTCTTGTCGCATGACTTTGACCATGTGGTGGGTGGATGTACTTCCACTCATGTGAAGGAGAAGGCATTAAGGCTTGTGGCTCTTCATCATAGTTAGTATATTCCTCATCTGGTGTCATGATACTCTGAAACATACACTTTCCAACTGCCTAGAGCAAACCCAGAACAATCTGAAAAAAAGACAAAAATGTGGTTTCCTTAACTTTTCTATTCTAGTATTGCTACTTATCACTTAATTCACTAAAGGTCTAGAATACTGGGGTGGGGCAGGAGGGAGGGGAAAAAAATCTTCCTTCTGGAGGTAGTGTCAAAATGGTAGGGAATTTTAGATAAATGCTTTTACACCAGTAAACGACTTGAGTTTGTCAAGGAAACGCTTCCTCCTTTCACATCTAGCACTAAAAGCTTCTGCAACACTTCTGCAGTACGCTCTTGCAGCCGGAAGTCTTAGCCTAAAATATTAGCAGACTACTCAGAAAAGCCTGCATAGCTTCAAAATCTGAAATATGTCTTTTTTGTTACCTTGCTTTTGTAGTGTATGGTTTTAAAATTTGGTTCATGGGCTGTCTTTTCTGAATAAGATTTTAATGGATTTTAGTTTCCTGTGTAAGGAAGTGTTTAGACTTCATCCACCACACTTTGATCAATTCCGTATCACTCTAATTTTCAATTTAATAATTGATTCATGAAGTTGGAGCAAAAGCAAAAAGAGAAGTTTTAGTTCACTTATTTAATTGAAATTTAAATGGCCTGTTCACTTTAGGGCAAAGGAAAAAAATTCACATAAGATGTTGGATTTTAACATTTTGTTTAGTGAAGGACTTTTGTTCTTCAGTTTAGCTTAACTTCTACCTGCAACTCCCAAGTTCTGATCATTGCGTTAATCCTGTAGAATAATTCAAGTAATACAGGTGCAAAACTGTGCTCCTCAGTTACTTCATTTGAGATGCCCATTTATACAAATACATTTCATTCCTGCTGTCTCTTGCACCCTCTGTGTTTGTATCTGATTGTCCTCCACTTCCTTCATCGTTAAACTTGGGTCAAATCACTGGGGTGCGGCAGGATTGTGTGACTGATTCAGCTTCTTACATAGGTCTTCAAAAACAGTTTTGTGTTTTTCCTGAAACATTTTGTTTGCATTTTGAAGTAGAACACAGCTGATCCAATTGAATGATATCAATGCAAAAGTCCACAGCTTAACTTTAGCTGTCACTTTTCACAGTAAAGTGGAACATGTGGAACAAAGTTGCTGAGGCTTTGTGCCAATGGAAACCGTAAACCAGAGGGAAGCTAGGAATCAAAGACTGTCAACAAGAATATTGCTGTCATGGAAGCCAACTTTCATTACACCTGTCTGTATGAAGAGAATAGTAAGCAAAATGTAGGATAGGAAGGTGTGTCAGGAATATTGGTTGGTGTTTAAATTGGACACTTAAACTTGTTTGCCCTCCTTTGTGGATAAGCCATCCTGCAGCATAATGAGGAAGTAAAGCATGAGGCCCGCAAAGAAATGCTAGGAATTATACCTGCGTGATGTTTAGTTACTGTAGTTTGAAATATTGAATATATACCCTGAGAGATCTTTCATTTTTGAGGTTTTATATTTAGACTTCTAACTAGCTATAGAATGTACTTTATAATGATATTTAAAGTATCTCTAACAGATTTGGAGGTTCTGTTCTTTAAGTTTGGGGGCTTTTTCTTTCTGGAAGTAGAGTCATATGCTGTCATCTTTTCCTCAAATTGGCTAAGCTTATGTACAGTGTGAAATATGGCATCCTGAAAAACCTGTACATGCTTCCTGCCCTCTTAAACACACTCTGTACTTTGCAATGATATTTTTGTTTTTATTTGTAAATTTATGCAGTAAAAGAATCTGCCATTTTGTAATTAAGGCACAGAGCCTAAGAAGCCTAAGCGTGTAATTCTGGCTTTTACTACCATGAATAATCACGTCTCCACAGAAAATGCCCTAAGCCCACATGGTGCGTAACACTCAGGACAGAGTGCTATCTGCAGTGAGAATGCCAAGGACGAATGTCCTGGAACAACTTGAACGCTGACATCCTATTTCCTGGGATAGCCCAGGCTGAGTGTTCAGAGTCCTTGTCATGAATTGTTTAGTGCTTACTGTCTGTCTTCTGTACATTAGATCCGTAGTTACCCTCCTATGTGCAATGCCTATCCATTCAGAAAAGCTACCAGACAATGTGCGTGTGTAACATAGTCAAATTAGATCGCTATAGGTATCAAATAATTAAGGAATCCTATTCTACAGCATGAAATTACTTGAGATACTTAAAATCTAGTAAGTTAGGTAGCTCAGAGGCAGAGAAGAGCTCATATGAAGTCTAGGAATCTGATGTTTACAGCAGTCTGGATGCAAAAGTGAACACAAGTGGAGGAGATCTGTTTCCTTTACTATATCTAAATCTTGTTTTTGCATTCCAGGTAGAACTTCTAACCATGGCAACTGTCCATTTTCTTCAAAAGAAGGAAAAGGATAATATTCTTTCCTATATTAATGATCTAGTATCAAGAAGGAAAGAAGAAGTAATGAACAGACTTTTGCTAATGGCCCAATTTAACTTTCAGGTTAATCTTTGCCACAGAAAATACTCTTCCACTCTGATGTCTTCTTTTGGACCAACAGTTGCTACAGCACACTGAAGGCCATAGGATGGATTATTTTCTAGCTTTGTTTTTTAACTTTATTTTCAGCTTACTGGGTCCTGTCCTAATAGGAGAAGCACTTTAAGCTGTGTCCCTTGAAGGAGGGATGTGTTCCAGTAAGCACTTATTCAGGACTTTGGCACGTAGATTCAAAATACTGTCTTAAATCTTACTAACATTCAGCTTTGGAAACACAGATTTCACAGACATCTTGCTTCCTTTCTGTAGTTTCACAGACACCTAGTCTGCATGTTTACTCATGTCCAGAATTGTTGCAGTTTCGTTGAGCCATTTGGATGCTACCCTGTGTCCAGGAAGGACTGATCTAGTTTCTTGGAATATGCTTCACTCAAATGATATCGGACTTCTCACAAGACACCATTCTGTGATGTCATTTTCTTTTTCAAATATAATGAGTAAAGTAATTTCTTGCTGTTCCTGCCTCCTTAAGCATGAGCTAATAGCTGCAGCATTTTTCAAGAATCCAATTTCTTCTTTTGACTGAGGCAATTCAGAAGAAGCACATCTTGTCTTGCTGTCTTTCTCTGTATTGAAATGTATATCAGTCTTCAATCCTTCTAATCTTTCTTCACTCCCAATTATTAATCCTGCCAGGAATGTTATCTGTTACTGAGTAAATTGGGGAGGAAGGGTAAGCAGGCCAATATTTCCATTATTCCTGTTGCATAATAGATCCATGCCTCTCTCTGGCTGGATTATGCATGACCGACCATTCTTTTGAGGCTGGTTTGTTAGAATTCATTCCAAGTATTTGTCAACAGTTATTCTGTCAGTCATGTTGGGTCAACCAGCCTGAAGTATGAATCAAGTTCAGAGGCTGAACTGCATTTGCACATCCTGAGCATGTTGACTCATTAGTGCAGGACTTTGAAGAACTGGAAGACTGGCCTCAAGCGGTAACTTCCTTAAATCCCATTGACTGGCAAAAGAGGAAAGCTGCTTTTGAATTGACTCAAAAATAGTGGTGGGGGAGTTGCAGTGGCTTCATTGGGGTTTTTGTTTGCTTTTTAATTAATGTGAGTGAACTAAAAAATGAGGATGGTAATGACAGCCTAGCCCCCTTTTTTAAAGCAGTCTTTTCAAGTTAGTACCAGTATTGTTGGGGAGGATGCTTTTACTGTGGTGATGTGGAAATGTGAAATACCCTCTCTTAAAGAGGAATGCATGGCTGATACTTACTTGCTATACATGTATATGAAAAGATGTTAATTTCCTTATGCAGAAGAGGGAGTGGACGCATGGAGAAGCACTGTAATT